AGAGGCATCGCTATAGCTGCAGTGACTATTGCGCACGTTTACGGTTACCATATTGTAATGCGTAGCCTCCAATTACGGTTCCTGGGTGGTTAACAGTCGCGACCGTTGACTTCATGCAACTGTTGATGTCAGAATGTGTAGTTTGTCTAGCCTGCAGTGGGGTACTCTATAGTGAGTACGGCCCCTTAGGTTTTCCTGTGTGTATCCACCTGCTTGCTAGTGCAACCCCCTTTTTGCCCATTCTCTCTTGCCTAGCTTGCTACACCTTAGCTATGGCTCCTGCGTTCTAGCTGCTATTCTGACATGGTATTAGAGCCTTTGCGCTCTTGGCCTGTGGGCCCACATGCTTCCGCTGCTGCTGTACTGTCTGTCGCGCGCCCCGTGGCGCGCGACGTTTTTTCTCTTTCCGCCGCGCGCTCGGGGCGCGCGGCGGTTTTCTGCCCGCCACGCGCTCGGGGCGCGTGGCAATTTCCTGCCCGCCGTGCGCCCCGGGAGCGCGCGGCGGTTTCGTTGCCCGTCGTGGCGCCCCAGGGGCCCGCGCACTGTCCCCTCCCGTCGCCCGTCGTGGCGCCCTGGGGGCCTGCGCGTCGCCCCCCTCCCGTCGCCCGTCGTGGCGCCCCGGGGGCCCGCGCGTCGCCCCCTCCCGTCGCCCGTCGTGGCGCCCCGGGGGCCCACGAGTCGCCCCCTCCCGTCGCCCGTCGAGGCGCCCCGGGGGCCCGCGCGTCGCCCCCTCCCGTTGTCAGAGGTCCACTGGTGATCCCCGATTGATCCTAGGGAAGGGTTACATGCACGTTGGCCTGGGGGGTTATGGGCGCACTGACCCGTTACTTAACAAGCCCTTTTATCCCAATGGTCTAGTGGTTGGGATTCTGACATGGTATCAGAGCGAAAGGTCTCGGGTTCGAATCCCGGTGCATGCACTTCGGGCATCGCAGTGCGGGGGGGTGTCAGAGGTCCACTGGTGATCCCCGATTGCAAACAACATTTTGACAAAGAAATCTCACATGGCTCACCTCCAGGAATGAAGGGGGATGTTGGAATAACCAATAGTTATTTAACATTCCCGAAGGTTTTCCATTAGTGCACCGCTTCATATCGAAACAACGCATTGTGCAGTACCAAGTCAACACGTACAAGAGCGTGCAAGCGAAAGTCAACTATCAGAATAGCAGCTAGAACGCAGGAGCCATAGCTAGGGTTTAGCAAGCTAGGCAAGAGAGAATGGGCAAAAGGGGGGTTGCACTAGCAAGCAGGTGGATACACATAGGAAACCCTAAGGGGCCGTACTCACTATAGAGTACCCCACTGCAGGCTAGACAAACTACACATTCTGACACACCGCCATAGTAAAAGTGGGGTATGATCAGCACAACAAGCAGCAGTTCATAGTTCACAAATATAAGCAAAGCTAGAGGCTATCACAGAGGGCAAGTGAGAAGGAGGAGGAACTGTGAGAGGAGAGAAGATGGGAGGCGACGGCTGAAGCTGCAGACACACGGGCAACAAGAGCGGCGCGCACAGTGGCTACCGGTGGCAAGGGCCCCGGACTACAGGAGTAACAGGCTCCGCGGCTAAGACGAGCGGCAGGAGCAACGGACCCACGGGCGACAGGCGCAGCAGGCTCTCTGGGCTACCGGCGGTAAGGGCCCCGTACTACAGGCGCTGCGGACGACAAGACGGCTGCCTCCACTCAACCTCCCCCAGCTGTCCCACACCCCTTTCACACACCCCCTGCTGTTCCCCTAGCACTGCTCACACGCCACCCCCCTAGTACCACTCCGACGGCTCCCACACATCCACCCCCCTCAGCGGCAGCTGCAGCAGTAGGAGACGGAGGAGGAGGAGGAGCAGGGGACGGCGCACACACCCCTAGACTGCAATATAGGGTTTCCTATATGTACTCCACTAGCCTGCTAGTACAAACCCTCTTTCCTAAAACCTAAGTCCCAACCTAGCTTAGGATTCTAACATGCTATCAGAGCAAGTCGACCCTCCTTGGTCGATCCTGTGGATGGGCCCACCCTACTGCTTCCGCTGCTATTCTGCTAGTCGCGCGCCCCGGGCGCGCGACATTTTTCAGCCCGCCGCGCGCCCCGTGGTGCGCGGTGGTTTTTCTGCCCCCCGCGCGCCCCGGGGCGCGCGGCGGTTTTCTGCTCGGTGTGCCGCCCCCGTGGGACCCGCGCGCCGCCCCCGTGGACCCGCGCGCCGCCCCCGTGCACCCGTCGCGCCGCCCCGTGGGACCCGCGCGTCGCCCCTGTGGACCCGCGAGTCGCCCCCCGTGGACCCGCACGCCGCCCCTGTGGGACCCGCGCGCCGCCCCCGTGGACCCGCGCGCCGCCCCGTGCCCCCGCGGGCGCTGCCTTGTGGCTCCCGCGCGCCTCGGGGGGGCGGCGGTTTTCAGCCAGCGAGCCGCCCTTGCAGCCCGCGCGCCTGCCCCTGCAGGCGCGGGGCAGCTCCTACCCTTCTCCCCCGCCTCCTTCTCCCTGCTACGCGTGCAGCCGTGGAGGGGGGGGGGGGGGTATGGGGGTGGCGGGCAGCCGCGGAGCAGCTCCTACCCCGCCCCCTCGACTCCATCTCCTTGCTGCACCTGCAGTAGTGGGGGGGGTATGGGGGTGGCGGGCGTGCGTGTTGAGCTGCCGCTCCTCCTCCTCTCTCTCTCACTATTGGAACTGCAGCTGAAGGGCGGGGAGGGTGGTGGGGAGACTTGGGAGTGGCGCTAGGGTTGAGGGGTGTGACACGGGAGGGGTGGGACAATACGAAGGGGGTGAGGGCGGGTGACCGCCGTGAAGTCCGCAGCTCTAGTCGCCCGTGAGACCGTTGCGCCAGAGGCCCGTGGGTTAGTTGCTCTTGCCGGCGAGCGAGCCAGTTACTCCGGTTACCCGTTGCTCCGGTCCCCAGAGGATCAGTTGCTCTTGCCGGCGAGCAGAGCCAATTACGCCGCTTGCGACCAGTGCCAGCAGCTTCAGCGGCCGCCCACCTCCTCTCCTCTCCAGTTTCCTCCTCCTCCTCACTTGCCCCCTGCTTCTGCCACCAGTCTTTGCCTATAAACTGGTTCTGAGACTGCTTGTTCTGTTGGCTATACCCCACTTTGCCTATGGGGGTGTGTCAAAATGTTATTTGCTGTGTAGGCTATAGTGGGTTACCCAACTGAGAGTACAACTCTTTTAGGGTTTCCTATATGTACTCCACTAGCCTGCTAGTACAAACCCACTTTCATAAAACCTAAGTCCCAACCTAGCTTAGGATTCTAACATTCTTCACGATCCCGAAGAGGTCCGCGCATTGCTGAATCATCCTCTTTTATGAAGACGTAATGGAGTATGCTGTACTTAGTGCGATTAACGAACCTGGGTTTGTTTGCGATTTTTATCGCACTCTGGTTCCCGCAAAGTAACGCCAAGTGCCCGTTCGTCGTCATTTTTAGTTTCTGCACGAGCTCCATCAGGTACAGACCTTAGCAAACAGCTGCGCAGGCAGCGATGAATTCAGCTTCGGCTGACGAAAGAGCAATGAGTTCCTACTTGTGGGAGTTCTAGCCGATGAGTCTAGCAGGCTCGAGTTGGAACATAAAGCCCGTTCGGGGGCGTATATTTTCTGCATCTCCCGCATGATTCGCATCCACATAGCCACTTAACTGGAGACTAGTTGTTAGGTTAGTCGTGTAGGTGAGCCCGACGTCAATTGTAGAGATGAAGTAATGAAGCGCCCACTGTAGGTCTAGCATGTTCTCCCCATCAGGTCGGCACATGTACTGTGCGAGTTGGCTTGCGACATAGGAGAGGTCTGGTCGGCACGTGATGGCAGCGAATAGTAGGCACCCTTGCTGCTGCTGATAGAGATGGTGGTCGTTGACGGAGAGAGGGGTGGTGTCCGGTTCATGATTGGAAGGAGGTGTGCGAAAAAGAGTGGAGATGTTGATCGGCACAATCGCGGATTTCTTTGTGAGAGTTTCTGCGTACTTGGCGGCTGAGAGGTGGA